CCCCAAAACCCCAAAACCCCAAAACCCCAAAGTTTTGAAAACTCTCACTAAAATTAATACTCAATAAATCAAATATCCTATATTATAATCTAATCCACTTAGTCTTATTGTTCATTGAATTAATCTCCAATCTATTTATTATTGGTTTTCTTTTTCTTTTTCTTTTTTTTCTTTCCACTTTTGATGCTTTAACTATTTAAACTAATATCCTTTTTTGCTTCAGAGTTCTAGTAATTATTAATATTTGGCTTAATAATTTTCCTTAAATTAATATCCTCCTCTTCTATTTCCTCAATTGCTTGACTCTTCATGCTCTATAAATTTTGTCTGATGTCAATCATTTATTCCTTCTTCTAGATAGGTGTAGCTTGCATTTGTCTTAGAAATAGAGGAATTTCCCCTCCTTGAGCATTATTTGGCCCGTTTACCTCACCTTCAAGATACTTACTATCAGAAAGGTTAGAAACTGTTTATTCCTACTTTTAGTAATTCATCTTGAATTACTAATAAGGAGTAAATTCATTTTGTTAAAATTTCAGTCCTAAAATCTCATCAGTATCATCTTCTCTCGATGGTGATGTACCAATTGTTGAATAGCCAATCCCAATTTTATCCTCTGCCAAAAATTCTTTTTCATCAGTAGTGATGTTGCTGATCACCTTTACTGAGCGCTTTTCTCATCTCTGATTTTATTTATTAGTTTACTTTTGATTTAATAGATCCTGCAAAGAGACCTGTTGTTCAAGATCGTAGTTTTCGAATTGTTGAGATTAAAGTTAATCAATAAGTTTCTAGTCACTGTCTCTTCTCTTCACTTAAACCTGTTAAATATCCAATGGGCGTTACCCAGCATCATTATTCTTTTTGTGATAATTTTTAAGTTTGTTGAGAGGCAGAGGGGGGAGCATAACTTTACTCTTTTTTTACTTTTGCTGCCTCTCTGAATTTCGCTATGTCTAATTGCCTTGAATTTATTACAATTTTTTATCCTATGATGACTCATATGAATCTTTTGACATATTATTCTTGCTTTGACCATACTTTTTTTCGTTATCTTCTTCAACTGAATCTAATCTGTTGCTCTTTGATTTTTTATTATTCTCTAATTTACCACTTTCAATATCTTATGAGTCTTTTCAGTGCGATTTAATTAGTTTTCTATTTGATTGATATTCTCTTTCTTCTTCCTAGAGCTCATTTATTTACTTCATTAGTTTTCTATTCATTTCTATCTATTTCTTAGCCATTTTAACCTCTTAATCTAGCTTTTCTTACTTTTATTCATGGATTCTGAAAGCTTCCTTCTCCACTAATTTTTTTAATTTCCTCTTCCTCGCATAAATGCAGTAAAGTAGGATAATTATTAGTATAGCGACTATGCTTAACACAACAGAGACTAGTATTATCAATGTTGATGTTACAATTGGACTAAGAAGGTTTCTTTAATTACCTTTATCATAATTCATTTCAGATTATTTTTTTAATTTATCAACTCTAGATTTTTCTATCATTTTATTTGATGGGGTTTTGGGGTTTTGGGGTTTTGGGGTTTTGGGG